TCAGGGGGTAGCCGTGTTAGTCTGTATCCACAAAAACACAAGGAGTTCGGTGGCACCTTAAAGACTAACAGATTTATTTGGGCATAAGCTCTTGTGGTAAAAGATCACTTCTACTCACGAAAGCTTATGCCCAAATAAATCTGTTAGTCTTTAAGGTGCCACTGGACTCCTTGTTGTTTTTGTAGAATTACACAGGTTATCCTAGCCTTGTTGTCTTTGCTCTATGTCAGTTTCATTGCTTAGTAAGCAGAGTTTTATTCTGACAATACATGTATTTTACTCTTAGCTTCTCCCGGACCAGCTGGTCTTACTTCTGGAATCTCTGTTGGAGGAGAAGACGTTATGTCTCAGAACTCTGCAGTGCTTAGAGAAAACATACCACCTTGATGAGCAGGATTCAGAGGTAATTCATTAACAGTCCCACTGCAATATTAAACAGAGTCATTGTGCTATTGACTAGGAATATTGACATTCCATTAGGACCCACGGCTATTCAAGCTCCTTTTTCCATTATTCTAAAATTATGTGTATATGTACTACTGAAGAAGCAACAGGTACAGTATGCCTGCCTTACTCTGTATTTCCTGTGTGAATGTGTGTGATATTAGCGTATACTGTGCATATGCTCATATGTTTGCATATTGTAGTTACGCTATCTAAAATAATTAGTACAGCCAGTTTGCATAGCCTCCACTATGTGTGTATATGTGAACAGTACATGTGCCTTTAAGAGATATGCGTGCACACATGTTAAAACTGCTTACTTCATATATACATATTGTATATATGGAACTTGTATGGTTTTGATAAGGTGTCATACCTCAGAATTTGGTCTAAATTTCTTGTTCCACTTGATCAGCTCATTGATTGCCTTTAGCTAGCACTCAGGCCTCACTTATATAATATAAAATTGTGCTTTTATGAGAGAGTAAAATTATTTCTGTGTTCATGGGATATGAGTTCCAAGGAGCAACTAGATCTTTACAGCTGCATCCATTAATTGAGTATGTGTTTAACAGTCATGGGAGAAATTATTATTTGCATGATGATATAGATGTGCTCCAAGGGCTTCCAAACTTAGGGGCCTGATCCTGCAAACACTTACTACCGGGCATAGTGTTAACTGTGGGGTCAGCGATCACTTAGTGCTTAAGGTTTTTGCAAGAGCTGTGCTTTATTCTGTGTCCAGTTTCAACTGGCTCTGCATAATAAGATGTTCACAGTGCCTCGCCCAGACACTGTCTGGGAACCTCAGCCATTAAAGCACAATTCCCATACCATATCTTCCCTTTTGATCCAAAACTTAATAACACTTACTACTACTGTACAATAGTCCCAGTGACTTATCAGGCTGAGAGAATTTAAATCAATGGGACTGCTCATGGTAGTAAGCAGTATTCACAGTAGTAAATGTTTGCAGGCTCTGGACCCCAAGTAGACCGTGTTCAGAGAAAGGACATTTAGGAGAAGATGGAGGAAATGAAACCAATCCAGGAAATATGCATTGTGTAGATGCTGGTTAGATGTTCATAAACAAAAAATGGTTAGTTATTGAGGAGAATATATTCATACCAGTATAATGAAGGAGCACTGTTGAACTTAAGATATTTGACTCCTATTTAATTAAAAACTACTGTGAACACCACAGATGGTCACTGTGCATGGTTTATCATGTATAATTGAAATTTTATGTTAGTAATTAAAATGGAAGGAAAGAGTGAAATCTGGCTCATGTTTGTTACAATAAAACGGCTAGGTAGAAATTGTAGTATGTTTTAGAGTCCTGCATAAATCCAAACATTAATTTAAAAACTCCAAACTGCAGTCTAGCCTTTTTCAAAAGAACTTTGCCAGGTGACATTTCAACTGTTGCTATTTATTTCAGCTTTTTATTTTTTGTTTATCAGAGTTTCCAAGTACCAGACTTATTTTTAATTAGTATTCAAACAGACTTTTCTATTTATAGGAATTAGGATATATTTTAATCACAGATGAATGCCAATGAAATGTCAGGAGTTCTATAAAGGGAAGAGGAATAACTAGGGAGGTAGGATCAAAGCGGGAGCTCTAGTGTTTCTATTTCATGCCAGTGAATTGTGAGCTACTAGACCTTGGGTTTAGGGTTGCTTTGATATGTTTTTCCTCCTTAAACTACATAAATTCAGGGGGTTTGGGTTTTTTTGGTAGATTTACTTAACTGCACACCAGTGATCTTTCATATTTTTTCTCTCTTTGCAACAAAATTATGACCTCAACAAAAGAAGCATAATCTCTGTTTTATTATACAAGGTGAAACCAAGGGCTTAACAGACCTTTAAGAAGTACAACGAAGATAACATTACCATTAGAGTTTTACCAGTCATCAGATCAGAGACACGTACAGTCCTTTAAAGGGAATGTTAGTTAACACACTGTCACATACCTAAGGAAGGGACCTTTCGTGTTTCAAACTACAATAAGTGCAGAGCAGAGTTTCTTTATAAAGACACTGGGACATGGAATTGCAGGATTCCAATCCAAGCTTTTAGCTGAGCTGTTCGTGTCTAAGTTTGATTAGCTGGGACATTAATCTGTTATAGTTAAACCTACATAGTTACAGGATCTCAAATACTTTTATTAACAAAACTTCAAAATGTGAGTATTAGAAATGTAAGCATTCAAAATTGAAGGCATAGAAGTAAAATGAAAGCTGTTAGTGTCACAGTTTTTATTAAGGATCTTTTTTGTATGTAGAACATTGTCATTTCCTGGCTAGCAGCAGACCGCTCAGTAAAGTACACTAACTTCTTCATTATTAAGAAGTAATTATTTCCAGTTACATTAATTCTTGTGCTGGAGATTAGCCATGATCAGACCAACAGTATGCTAAACTGGTATAATTCTTTAAAACAGGCCTGGCACATGGATCCTACTATTAGCAGAAATTGTCAATGGAATTATCCAGTACACCTTTCTTAGTACTGTAGGTAGCAAAGTGACCTCACTCTGGTAACAGAAGGAATATAAAAATATTAATTTCTCCTGCTAGTAAACTAAAGCCATGTCTACACTTACAAGTTTGCAGCGGCACAGCTGTATTAATACAGTGCTGTGCCACTGTAAGAGGGCTCATGTAGCCACCTTATGCTTATGGAAGAGAGCTCTCCTGTTGACATAATAAAACCAGCTTAATGAGCGCTGGTAGCAGTTTCGGCAGGAGAGCGTCTCCCACCGACACAGCACTGTATACACAAGCGCTTATGCCAGCAAAATTTATATCACTCAGGGGTGTGGGTTTTTTTTTTCCACATCCCTGAGCGACAAAAGTTTTGCCGACATAAGTGCTAGTGTAGACATGGCCTTGGTGTGTATGTGTGTATCCATTTCAGATTTTGTATTGCTAATTTGGGGGGAGGCAAGGAGTCTAAATAATCTCACCTCAGTCAGCTGTGTGGAGAGATGGGTAAGGAGGAGAACAGAGAAGACAAAATGCCTCTGGCAGCTTTCATAACTCTGGGCAGATTGAGAAAAGACACATTTTTCTCAGTCTCTTGCTCTCTCTCTCTCTCTTCTTTTTTTTTTAAAGACTTTGGTGTCTTTATAGATTGCTGCTTTGATACTTTAGCAGAGCTGCATCAACATAACACTGAAACCAGTACAGAAGCAGAAAGGGAATATATTGTACAATAAGGTCTCGAGTCCAGTATGTATGGAGATTGGGTATGCATGTATTAAGCCTGTTTTGGCCCTGAACTACTCTGTAGCTCACTCACATGTCACACTCCCTGTCATATATCTCACTGGAGATGTAAGTCTCTTTTCTGAATTTCAGAAACACTGCAGGTGAACTGATGATTATTGCTCAGCTTTTCACCATATAGGAGTACAGTGCAGACCATTCCTTCCAGCTTCTGTTTCTTGAAGTCTTTATACACATTTGTGAAGCATTAACCTTTCTCTTTCCAGTTGAACATGCTTTCTGTTCCAGCCAATGTTTCTCTTCTAAACATACCTGCACTTGCACACTGCACTGTATGGAATCAGAGAAGTGTGGGACTGGAAGGGACCTCAATCCAGTCTAGTCCCCTGCACTCAAGGTGGGACTAAGTAATAACTTGACCATGCCTGACAGGTGTTTCTCTAACCTATTGTTAAAAACCTCTAGGTATGTTCCTGTGAGATACAAACTGCTATGAAATGGGTCATTCCCTTGTGCAGTACAGTTCTCACCTCCCCACTGTGCGGCACTTGGGTGTCCGGGGTTTTCAGCCTTAGGGTCAAACACGATTTCAAAAGGACTAAGGGGCCAGAATCAGTACTTGGGGGCAAATTATCTACCTTGTTCTGTTCCCTTTTGTGCCACTTGGGCAACTCAAAAGGAGCAGGTGCCACCCACAAGTCCCATACACCAGGAAATCCCCAGAGGGAAAGTCCGCATGTGACACGGAGCTAACATAACTGGCTCCTATATCTCCCTCCTTACAGCTTCTCATGGGGCACATTGGGGGTAGGAAATGGCCATGCTGGAATGAACTGTACTTCAGTTATCTCCAGCTCGTTTATAGTCGCTAAGGGACTGTAGCTGTTTGGCAACAGCTAGAGCAAGACCTAGGCTGCACTAAACTGTGCTGGGGCAGAATATCGAGGAAGCTGTAAGTAGCTGATAGTTCTCTGCTGCTCCTTCCCCCGCATGTCTGTGTAGCAGTGGGGAGCCGGCCTTTGCAAGGCACTCTGCTAGACTCAGCAGAACCAGCCGAGCTCCTGCCTTGCTCTCACTGGGGCTGCCACAGCCCAGTTGGTAAGCAAGCAACGGAGCTACCAGAGCTACACTCCTCCCTGCTGGAGCAGGAGGGTGCTGAGCAGCTGCAACAGGAAAGAGAAAACAGCTGCTCAGAGTACTCCCTGCTCACATGGAGCTGTTCCAGAGGCTGCAGGGGCAACCGTGGGAGGCAGCGCCCCTTACCTGCTCCACCCAGGAATGGGCTGATTTAAACACCAATTAGGGAGTATGTTGTCATTTCATAATTAAATATGTATAACACAATTGCCCTTGGCTGCCATTGTTGGACACTGTCTCCAGGGCCAGATGTGGGACACCACTGGTCTAGTAGGACTATCACTAGTCACGTTACCCTGTCTAAGACCTCGCATGGTCTAGGATGCTTGCTTAACTGTACTAACAGTATATCCCTCCTATTTGTGTTGTGCACATTTACAGTGAATAATGATTTCATTGCAATAATATTTCCCATGGACAGTTTAAACATAGGGACATTTGGAGAAGGCACAGTAATCACAAACCTGTACGTTTGTTTTCCAGCTATTAAGTGCAGTAATATGAAATGTATGAAATGAACATGTAAAATACATCTTTAAAAACCATTTCAGAGAGTTGTAGTGTCTTCTACATTCTAAGCTTTTTTC